ACAGCAGTCATCTTCTCAACATGCTTAGTGGGAACAACTAGCTTACCGTCAACAGTAGTCATCTTCTCTACACGCTTAGTGGGTACAACTAGCTTACCGTCGACAGCAGTCATCTTCCCTACACGCTTAGTGGGTACAACTAGCTTACCATCGACAGTAGTCATTTACTCTACATGTTTAGTGGGTACAAATAGCTTACCGTCGACAGTAGACATCTTCCATACTTGTTTAGAGGGTACACAATTAGCTGCATATAGAGAAGTTGTGTTATCCACATAGTTCACTGTCTACAGAGGAGTCGTGAGCTACATGTTTAGAGGGTACATAGTTTACTGTTGACAAGATTCATGTTCTTTACATGTTTAATGGATACACAGTTTACTGTCTACGTGTTACACATAGTTTGCTGTTGACAGGAGTCGTGTTATCTACATGTTTAGAGGGTATACAGTTTACTGTCTACATGTTTAGTGAATACACAGTTTACCATCTACATGTTTAGTAGATACACAGTTTACTGTCTACATGTTTAGTGGATACACAGTTTACCATCTACATGTTTAGTAGATACACAGTTTACTGTCTACATGTTTAGTGGATACACAGTTTACTGTCTACATGTTTAGTGGATACACAGTTTACTGTCTACATGTTTAGTGAATACATGCAACTTATTCTATGAAGAGAACAAATATCAAATTATACAATATTCTGCATCTAGAAATAATTCAAACAGACAATGAAAAAATTTCATCTTAAGACTGTATACTTTACAAGTAAACAGATGAAAATGAAATTTATATATTTTGATAAGAAATAATGTGTGAATTTTAAACTAGAATGTTTGAAGCACATCTGTAGCCTTGATGAAATATTAATGCTAAAACTGTTAACTTCAAAGTTGAAACATTGAAAAATATAGATACAATATATGAAAATATATAATAATACCAAAGCTTTGTACGAAACAGTTTTTTATTTAAATCATTGGACCTTAATTGTCTCATTTCCCTGAAACATGAAGTTGGAAGTCAAAATGAAATTGTTCATCTTTTGTTTGATTATACAGTCCACATTTTTTTGTCATGGTATCTCAGTGGTTTAAAGAAGGAAGATGTCATTTTTATACACAGACAAGTTTCTTTTGGATATACTAAAAACCAAACCTACAACACACATAAAACTGCTCTTAAATGGAATTTATCATTTTTACAATATATTTGTTACTACTCATAAGATTATGGATAGTAAATGAACAATATTTTTTTTCTAAATAAAAATTGTAAATTCCTGTCGCTTTTCAATGTTGCTTTCAGCTGTCTCTAAATCCCACACATATTTCCCATGAACCACAGAAAACTGGAAGCTGTGTCATGCTGGTACGACACTAACAAACCAAGGTTGTTTTATCCAACAGAATTCTGTGGACAAGTGATGCAGCCACTTTTACAACACAGAACTGGTCATTGTGCAAGAGGTCATTATTTGAATGAAAAATCTGGCAGATCTCTAAATTAAATCGAGACTTATCAACTATAGTTTTAAAACAAACTTGAACTGGTCTTTCCTTTACAACAGAAAAATTCAGTTTAGATTATCTTATTAAACAGAATCAACATAAAGACTAGATATGTGTTAAAAAGACAATCACAAACATTGTAAACAAATAAGCCCCTTTGTTTAAAAAAAAGATCAAAAGTTCAACATAATGTATGATTTTTAAGTATTTAAGGGATAGTCTTTTCTAGAATCTTCACTCTGTCTTTTGATTTGGCTATGGAACTGTCAATTCGAACCAAGAAATCAGCAGCACTCTCGTTAAATACAGAGTTGGTAGAATGTTCTAGACTTTCCATACCCATCGTAAAATGGTTAAAGTTTTCTTTAGATGGACTGGTAATTGGTGTTTCAACGTAGTTGGCAGGAGAAGAACCAGCTCTATCAATAGGAACAGGAATGTTTATATACGGCCGGAGAAATAAAGTATCTGTTGTCCATAGTTTGTTAACTCGTTTGATATGCTCCATCTAAAAATAATCACAACACAATTAAAATCAAGAAACATCCTTGTAAGTCTAGATTGAAATTAATCCACATTTTTACATTAGGTAAACCTGTGTATTATATAAATATACCAGATATTTCTTGTACTTTGACAGTATTTATTCTGAACTTATCCTTCATTCTGTGTATGTGCCAGTTTTACATCATACAGTCAAGAAAGCCATTAAATTTTAGCTGCATTTATCATTTTCTAGGAGATAGCCATTATGCCCATGAATGGTATAGTTGCAATGCTGCACAACGTACAAGAATACTGACAGCACTATCCTATAATAACAGTGTTTCAAGAATACAGCTTCAACTATGTTTGAATGAGAAAGACCAGTCACATGGGTAGCACTAGTCATTATGGGTGAACACCTTTCTAGGGAAGTATGGAATGTCTGATATAAACAGTCTGGAACATGATCTTGAAGAGAGTGATCTGAAGTAACATGCAGTAAAAATGACAGTCAGTGTCCAAAATGAGTACACACGTTGCATGTTTAGTATTTTATATTTTACTTTGTATCCAGTTCCATGACTAAGTTACTTGGAGATTCTGTATTATTCTGTGGTAAATATCTCCTGTAGACCTATTCCATCAGTTTGATCTAAATAAGTAAAATATCTCCATTTTTACGTTAATAAAATCTAAAATATCATTGTAACAACTTTCTTTTGTAACTTATCATTCAATGAGACAATTTTCAATGTGTAATTGTGACAACCCTTTAAATTTCTTTACACAAAACTGTCCTCTTTCACATTATGCTATTAAAAACTGAGGATAGGTGAATTATATCATCCGTGAAAAGTGTTGGGTCCTCAAGAAGAAACTATTCAACCCAAACATTTCAACCAATCACAAACGTGATCATAAGAAAAGAAGATAACATGACCTAAGTCACAAAGAGTGGACAACAATAATTAGTAGTCACACAAGCACTGCAGAGGAACCTTCAGAGAATGACATATATACAACATTTGGTCCTTCAAGAACACAATACATAGTTTTATTGTATCCAAATTTACCTTGGATATAGATTTAGCCTGAGGTGTTACTTTCTGTAGCTGGTCCAGTCAAGGTAAAGCAGAATACAATAAATGAAATAACAGATAAGTTCCTTGACCTGACCTAATACAGAGAGTAACAACTAAATATACACACCTGGTAAAGTAGAATATGATACATGAAATAGTAGGTAAGTTCCTTGACCTGACGTGATACAGAGAGTAACAATTAAATATACACGAAACAGTAGGCAAGTTCCTTGACCTGACCTGATACAGAGAGTAACAACTAAATATACACACATGGTAAAGTAGAATATGATACATGAAATAGTAGGTAAGTTCCTTGACCTGACGTGATACAGAGAGTAACAACTAGATATACACACATGGTAAAGTAGAATATGATACATGAAACAGCACGTAAGTTCCTTGACCTGACCTGATACATAGAGTAACATTTAAATATACACACATGGTAAAGTAGAATATGATACATGAAACAGTATGTAAGTTCCTTGACCTGACCTGATACAAAAAATAATACCTCAGGCTAAATGTAACATCCAGCCTTAACCATGTTTAACATGCTCCAAATTTGAAACTTTTTACTATCCAAGACATATATATATATACTATGTGAGGGGAGAAAAAGACATATATATGTACATAGATACATTATATATATATATACTATGTGAGGGGAGAAAGAGATATATGCACATAGATATATATACTACGTGAGGGGAGAAAGAGACATATGTACATATATATATACTATGTGAGGGGAGAAAGAGACATATGTACATAGATATATATACTACGTGAGGGGGAGAAAGACATATGTACTATATATATATACTATGTGAGGGGAGAAGAGACATATGTACATAGATATATATATATATATATATATATACTATGTGAGGGGAGAAAGAGACATATATACATATATATACTATGTGAGGGGAGAAAGAGACATATGTACATAATATATATATATATATATACTATGTGAGGGGG